TGGTGCCCCACAGCTGCAGTACCCCCTGGCCGTGGTGCCCCATAACCGTGGTGCCCCACAGCTGCAGCACCCCCTGGCCATGGTGTCCCATAACCATGGTGCCCCACAGCTGCAGTGTCCACAGCCACGGTCCCCAGACCAGCTCCCCCCATGCCACCCACCCCCAGACCCAGCCACATGCCCTTGTGCCCACCACTGCCTGTCCCCCCTGTTCCACATCCTGACACATCTGGGATCACATGGGAGCCACGTCCAGCCCATCCCCAGCCCCCATGGGTGTCCCACCAGGACCACCCTTGGCCCAGCCCCATAACCAAGTGCCACTCCCCTGTGTGTGGGGCTGGGCAGCCCCCAGCCTCCTGCAAGGACCCTCCATCCCTGCATGGATCCCCCAGCCCTGGCACTCACTGGCACTGCGACACCAGGGCCAAGCAAGGAGAGGCTCCACTGCGGCACCCGGGGGCCCCAACGGGGCTGAGCCCCACTCCCCACGCCCTCCTGGGTGTAAGTTTTGGGACAGGTCCTTTGCCCCCAGTGGCACCCCAGTCACCAGCGCACAGTTCTAGCTGCCCCCCTGCCACATTCCAATTTGTCCAGGTCCTGGTAGTGTTTACCATGGATGTAAATGAAAGACTTGGGGGGTGTAAAGTGCACCAGGCAGTGGCCAGGCTGCCTGTGCCAAGAGAGGACGTGGCTGGGGAGCACTTGGTGGGTGCCAGCAAGGCCAGGGGGGCTCTGGGGGTGCTCTCTGGGTGAAATGATGGTAGGACAGAGCTGGCTCAAGGGCTGCCACGGGGGGGGGGCAGTGGGGGTCCCTGCTGTGGAGCCAGGGAGGTGCCCCCAACACCCACTGGGACAGGGAACCCCCATGGGGCAGAGCCAGCACCCAAAAAGTGGGGCAGGTGCCCAAGAAGCAGAGGGGGGGACGAGTCCGGGCACCGGCAGGGCTGGGCAGAGGGCTCTGGGGAGGCTCTGCCCCCCCAGCCCGGCACAGGGGGGCCGCAGCCGCAGCCCCTCGCCGCCCGCATCCCGCCGGGAGCTGAGTCATCCCCATCCATCACCCCGTGCCCGTCTCCCGGGCGCGGGGCGCCGTGGCACGTCCCCGATGATGCCGCGCTCCTGCGCCGCTGCCAAGCAACAACCCGGAGGGAGCCGCGGGCGAGCGCGGCCCGAGCCGAGCCGAGCTGCGGCACTGACGCAGTGTGGCTGCTCCGCCAGCCCCGCGCCCGCCGCACCGCCGGAGCCGAGCCCGCGGCCGGGGGGGAACCGGCGCGGAGACCCCTCCCCGGAGGGCGGTGGGCTCAGCCTCGCCGGGGCCGTGCCGGGGCTGTGCCGGGGCCGTGCCGGGGCTGTGCCGGGGCCGTGCCGGGTCCGCGGCGCTGGAGGGGTCGGGGACAGCCGGGCTGTTCGCGCCGGCCCCGCGGGCAGCGGCTGCCCCGGCAGAGGTGACCTCGGCGCGTGGCCGCGGGGGAGGTGACGCCGCATCCCGCGGGGTCAGCCCGGGACAGCGCTCGGCCGCTGCCACCGCCCCGGGCACCGGCACGGGCGGGTCCTGCTCCCGGGCTGTGCCGGGCCGGCCCGGCGGCTCCCGTGGCTTTTCCCTACATCCCCCCCGTGCCGCACGTCCTCGAACCTACACCGAGACACGGGGTGGGCTGTACATCACCTGCTCGCGCTGCTGGTACGGCAACACCGCGGGGCAAAGCACAGACCGACCCATCCCGGGGTACTCGTGCCCCCAGCCGTGCCGAGAACGTGCAGGACACATCCCAGAGGATACACCAGCCGGCCCCTCTGGGAGCCAGAGCGATGGCCAGAGGACGGGGAGCACCAGCGTGGGAGTACGACGTGGCCCCACGGCCGTGAGGAACTGGGATGACCCTGACCTGGCGGTGCCCGCGGCGGGACAGTGTCCAGCTGGCCACGGCCCCAGTCCCCACGCCTTGACCAGCCCTGCCATGCGCCACCGGACACTCCCGTCTCCGTGGGAAGAGCGATGGTGCTGCCAGCGCTGGCACTGGGAGCGGCCGCACCAGCCCGGAGTGTCCTTAGGTGGAGGGGACACCAGAGAGGGGGTTCCCTCCCGAGTCTGGGTGTCACACATGGGGGACAGAAGGAGGCGCAGGGACCCCTGGAGCAGGTGGGACCCCCACGAGGGGGAAGCAGGGCTGGCACAAGGGCTCTGGAGCCACCACTTCTCCCCCCCGAGCGTGGGGCACGAACCCAGCACACACCCCAGGGCCAGGACACACCCCACCCCGGGGGACACCCCCACCCTGCCATCCCCCTTGCCCCGGCCCTGGCCACCGCCGGGAGGTGACAGCAGGTCTCCGTCCCCGTCCCCTCCCCGCGCTCCCCAGCGCCAGGAATAGCTCAATCTGCGCTAATCCGGCTGCAGCTCAGGGCTCCCCCAGCCCGGCACCGCGCTGCCTCCGCCGCGAGGAGCTGGGCTGTGGCAGAGGGGACCCCGCACCCCCTTCTCCTGCCAGCCAGGAGCAAGCCAGAGCCCCCGAGCCCCCCCTGGCCAGGCACGGGTGACGGGGACGGGCCCCCCGCAGCCTCCCAGCGCAGGGTCCGTACCTTGTGCGTGTCCAGCGCCTCCCGGCTGGGGCTGCCGGCGTCGAGGGTCCCGCTGGACGGCATGGTGGGGCACCGGGGCGGGCGGCCGCCGCCTCTTCAGCACCAGAGCGGACCCCGCTGCGCCGAGGAGGGGTCCTGGAGCCGTCCCCTGCCGCCTGCCTGGATCCTCCTGCCCCTGCGGGAAGCGGAGAGGGACGGGGTGAGGGGGGGCACCCGCCCCGCCGGCCCCCGGCCCGCGCCCCCCACCCCGGCAATTATTAACGTGCCACGGCCTTGACTCAGCCGGGCTGGGCCCCTGCCCTGCCACTGCCCCAGCACTGCCCCTGGCAGGTGCCCGAGCCCCGGGCCGGGCTGGCTGGGGGTGCACAGTGGGGAGAAGGGTGTACGGAGTGGGGTGTATGGTGTGGGGCACAGGGTGTGGGGTGCACAGCACGGGGTATAAGGTGTGGCGTGTGTGGTGTGGGTGCTGGGTGCATGGCATGGGGCACACGGTGTAAGGTGCAAGGTCCATGCTGTGGGGTGCACAGTGTGGGGTGTGCAGTGTGGTGTGTGCAGTGTGGGGTGTGCAGTGTGGGGTGTGCAGTGTAGGGTGTGCAATGTGGGGTGTGCAGTGTGGGGTGCACAGTGTGGGGTGTGCAGTGTGGGGTGCACAGTGTGGTGTGTGCAGTGTGGGGTGTGCAGTGTGGTGTGTGCAGTGTGGGGTGCACAGTGTGGGGTGTGCAGTGTGGGGTGTGCAGTGTGGGGTGTACAGTGTGGGGTGTGCAGTGTGGGGTGTGCAGTGTGGGGTGTGCAGTGTGGGGTGAGCAGTATGGGGTGTGCAGTGTGGGGTGTGCAGTGTGGGGTGAGCAGTATGGGGTGCAGTGGGGTGAGCAGTGTGCGGTGTGCAGTGTGGGTGCACAGTGTGGTGTGTGCAGTTTAGGGTGTGCAGTGTGGGGTGTGCAGTGTGGGTGCACAGTGTGGGGTGAGCAGTGTGGGGCAGGGAGTGTTCTGCAGGGTGCAGTGTGCAGGTACAAGGTGCGAGCTGCGTGTTGTGGGGTGCAGCAGGGCTGTGGGGTGCAGCAGGGCTGTGGGGTGCAGGCGCTTGGGTACCCGGTGCAGGATGGGTGGTGCAGTGTGGATTGGAGGGTGTGAGGGGTGTAGTGTACAGGTGCAGGGTGTGGGGTGCAGGGGTGCTGGGTGCATGGTGTGGGGTGCAGGACATACGTGGTGCAGGGGCCAACACGCAGGGTGTGCAGGGGGGACGGTGCGGGTGTGTGGGGTGCAGGGTGTGGGGAGTGTGGGGTGTGCAGTGTGGGGTGCACAGTGTGTGGGGTATACGATGCAGGGTGTGGGGTGTACAGCGCAGGGTGCACGATGCCAGTTGTGGGGTGTGGGCTGCAAGGTGTGGAGGTCTGGGGGGGGTTGCAGGTTGTAGGGTGTGCGGGGTGTACAGTGTGGGATGGGGGGGGAGCCTGGGGGCCACGTGGTGTAGGATGTGTGGGGTGTAGGGTGCAGGATGAGGACGCCGGGTGAGGGGTGCTGCTGGTTGCAGGGGGCCGGGGGGTGCAGGGTGTGTGGGGTGCACGGTGCGGGGTGTGGGGGGCCGGGGGTGCCGCTCGCGGGGTGCCGGGGGGGCCGCGGGGGAGGCGCCAGCCGGCACCTGTTGCTATGGCAAACGCTGCATTCGCCATGGCCGGGGCTGCTGTTGCCTTTGGCACCGGAGCTGCAATTTGTTTCTAGAGCTTTCCAGCCGCAGCCGTTCCCAGCGGCGGGCGGGGGGCTCGGGTGGGGGCTGGGGGGGCTCAGGGGAGCCGGGGCGAGCAGGGCGCCGCTCCCAACACCGCTCCCACCCCAACGCGTCCCCCCCCGGCCCGCGGCCACTGCGGCGGGGGCTGCTGGGGGGGCCGGGGGCTGCAGCCTCTCCTGCCGCAGGCAGGGGGACCCCCGGGGGTTCGGAGTGCTGGGCTGGGGGCCGCGGGAGGGCAGAGGGGGGGGACTCGGCCCTCCATGCCCCAGCACCCCCCGAAGGGCCCCTCTCACAGGGCTGGGGGGGGATGTGGGCAGTGGGAACTGGAGGGTCGGACAGCGGTGTGGGTGTGGGGTGCAGGCTGGGGGTACAGGGTGCGGGGTGGGGGTGCAGGTACAGGTTGTGGGCTGGGGGTGCTGGGTGCAGGCTGGGACCTGGGGGTGCAGGATGTCAGACTGGGGCGTGGGGTGCAGGTCCCACCCCAGGCACAGCCCCGTGCCAGCCAGTGGGCACTGGGGAAGGGTTCCCCATCCCGCTCCCTCCCCAGCTCGGGGAGCCCCCGGCGAAGCCCCGGCCCCATCCGTGTCACCCTCCCGTCCGCGGCACGGGGGTGCCCGTGCCTGCTCCCCGCGGGTCCCCTCGCCCCCGGCCCGGCACTCGGCCCCCGGGCACCGCGGTGCCCTCGGTGAGGGGCCAGGGCTGGCACCCTGCATCCCCAGCGCCCCCAGGCCCCCGCTGGCAGCGGCTGTGCCGCCAGCATCACGGCACACCCGTGGGCAGGGCACGGCCCGGTGTGGCACCCCGACCCCGCGTCCCCGCGCCAGCCGCCTCCCCGGGGTGCCGCCGGCGGAACCCCCCGCCCTGCCCGAGCCCGCCGTGCCCCCCAGCCCCGGCCGCGGGCACGGGCGGACACGCGCGGCCGGGAAGCACCGGGGACACCCCGGCTGCCCCTCGGGGGATCCCCGCGCCCGGAGGCGCCGCAGGGTCCCCAACGCCGGGGGTCCCAGCCCTGCCCTGCCGCCGGCACCTCCCGCAGCCCCCTCGCCCCGGCACCGGGGTCCCTCCGGCAGCCCCGGGGGGCGGCTGAGCCCCTCCGGCCGCCCCGGTGCGGCGGCGGCCGAGCCCGGCTGGCGCTGCCAAAGGGGCAGCTCGCGGCTTTGATTCGCTTCCAGCCAACATGGTCTCCAAACGCTCTAAAAATAGTTGTTCTGCGCACAAACCCCGCGGCAGCCCCGGCCGCCGAACAAAGCCGGGGAGCCGGCGCGGCCCCGGCCGCCTCCCGCTGCCCACCCGCGGGGCCCCGCCGGAGGGGCCGGAGGTGCTCCCGGCCCCGTGCGGAGCTCCCGGCCCCGTGCGGAGCTCCCGGCCCCGCGCCCCGCGCTCTTACCCGGCTGCGCTCGCCCGCCGCGGCGGGGCGGGACGGGACGGATCGCGACGGGACGGGGGGTTCGCACCGTGCCCTCGCCTTTAGGCCGCCGGGACCTTCCTCCGCGGCATCCCCCGGCCGAGCTCGGCTTGGCGGTGCTGGCGGACCCTCGCCCGGCGTCTCGGCGGGGACGGAGCGTCCGCCGCGCCCGTGCCCGGCGCTGCCCCTGCGGCCGGGGGCGAGCGGGGCCCCGGCCGTGCCCGCCGAGCCGCTGCCGCTCGCAGGACCGGCGAGTCACGCTCGCCGCGGCGGCAGAGGCGTTCCGAAGTAGGTTATACCTGCGCCGGCTGGGCGAGACACGCGGCAGAGCCACCGGCACGAAAATGGAAAACCCACCCGAAATCCCGCCTTTTTTTTTATATTTAGGGACCTCGGCGGTGCCGTGCCGCAGCCGGGAACCTGCAGGGACCTAACCGGCCATTTTAGGTGACGGCGAGCGGGGTCTCCGGCAGCCCCCCGCGCTGGCGGCGGGCGGGGGGACACCGTCACCGCAGTGCCCCCCTGTCCCGAGGTGACCCCGCGCGCGGCGGTGACACCCCCGGGGTTGGCCGGGGTCCCCCGTGCGCCGGCGGCGGAGGGGACGCACGAGGGACCCCGTCCAAGCGCCTCTCCCGTGACAAGTGCCGCAGCGTATTATTATTGTTGTTGTCACTTTGAGTCACTGCCACCACCGCGCTCCTCCTCCTCCTCCTCCTCCTCTCCTCCTCCTCCTCCTCCTTCCCAGCGCCAGGGAACAACTCCGGGATTGACTCAGAGGGGACAGGAGCGGCGGCCGTGAGTCACCCCCACCCCCTGCGCCCCCCACCCCTGACTCACGTTGGGGTGCCCCCCCCCAGCCCCCCGCGGCGTGGGTGCTGCTGGCAGGGGGGGCCGGGAACGGGGTGGGCGTCCCCCGGGGCCCGAAATTTTGCCTCTGACAGATGGTTGTGCCGAAACCACCGCGGCCGTGACCTCATCCCCGGGGTTGTAATTCAGCGGTGAAATGTTTGGCTGCTGCGGGGGGGGGGGGGCACGTGTCGGGGGCAGTGCCCGGACGGACACATGTGTCACAGCTCCGGGAGCCACTGCCACCGGGGTACGGGGGGTTTGGGGGGATGAGATGCCGGGGAGAGCTGGGGTGATCCTAAAAATAGACCTGGCACGGAGGTAGGACCCTGGGGTGGTCGGCAGCACTGAGCCAGCCCCGTGGTGCACCCCAAGGAGGGCGTCACTGCACCCCAGGGCACCACTGCACCCCA